GGGTCCACCACCCCATTCTCCCAACAGGGGGTAAAAACTCCCTGGGGCGGAGGAATTGGCTCTGCTGTGGATGATGGGTCCACAATCCCATTCTCCCAACAGGGGGTAAAAACTCCGGGGGGGGGAGGAATTGGCTCTGCTGTGGATGATGGGTCCACAACCCCATTCTCCCAACAAAAAAACCCCCCTCTTCCTGCCTGCTGTGGAACATGGGTCACAAGTCCACCATTCAGAACCCCCCAACTATTGGGGGGATGGGACGACACTCCCCCTGCTGTGGACGATGGGGCCCACAATTCCACCCCACACAGAGGAGGGGGTTACAAAGCCCCCCTCCCTCAGCTGGGGATGATGGGAAAGGCGACCCTTCCCTTAGCAACCTTCAAGCCCCTCCACTCTTCCGGTTCGGGTGGGGGGGGGGAGGAAAGCGACTGATGGGGCGTGTAGTCCTCCCCCTCAGGAGACACCCCCAACCCCGGACGGGACGGATGTGACTTGTAGTCCGGCTGTCAACGAGCCAGGCGGGACCGGCGGGCGTCCTTCCCGGCTTGGCTGAGGGAAACTGAGGTAAAAGTAGCCCCTTTCCCTCCCTTCTTTCCCTCACGGAGCCACCCCGGCGGCGGACGACACTCACTACTCGGGGTTCATGGCGGCGGCGGCGGCTCCTCCGCGGCGGGGCAGGCGAGCGGCTCTGCTGTCGGCTTCTCCTTCTTTCTTTCCTTCCTTCTTTCTTTCTTTTTTTTCCTTCCTTCCTTCCTCCGGCCTCCTTCGGGGCTTCCTGCCTGGCGGCTCCGGTCGCTTCCTCGCACAAGATGGCCGCCGCCGCTCCCCCCGCCCTCACCCCGCAGGGGCGACTTTATCACCGCGCACGCGCGGCCTCGCGCGGGGCACGCCGGGAGGCGTAGTTTCCGCGCTGACTCTTTTTTTTTTTTTTTTTAAAGAGGAGGAACCTTTTTAAATCAGGTTTTCTCTCTCTCTCTCTCTTTCTCAATCCCAGCCGCGCGCGGCCTGTCGGGAAATAAAGATTCCGGCTTCCGGTTTTTTGACGTCATCCTTCTCTCGCCCCGCCCTCCCTGGATTTGGGTTTTTTTTTTTTTTTGCGTCATCGTGGCCACTGCCCAGAGGCACTCTGGGAAATTGAGTTCTGGCCGTTAATATTATAGGGGGGCCATTATAGAGCAGGCGCCATATAATTAAATTATGTATTTGATTAGTTATTAAACATTCTATTTAAATTAAATATTTAAATAAGATCGAATTATACAACCATTTACACTCAGTTTATATGTGAGTGTATATATATATTTAAACAATTAGGCCTTAAGTGCCCTAAATTACTTTAATATTTCACGTTAACTGAATCTAGTGGCACCTGTATCATTTACATATGCAAACTTACACGTAATATTTGTACTATTTATTATAGTGTTATAAAATATGTGGCGTTGCCTGTTTTCCCTCTATCAGATAGTCCTCGACTTATGATTAGTTTAGTGGCCAAAGCTACAACAGCACTGAAAAAAAGTGATTTATGGCCGTTTTTCACACTTACGACCGTTCCAGCATCCCCACGATCTCAAATTTGGATGCTTGGAAACTGAGTCATACTTATGACCGTAGCAGCGTCCGGGGTCATGCGGTCACCGCATTCTCTCCACAATAACATGGGTGTATGTTCATAAGGGTGTGTGTGTGTTTGCACACATCTAAAAACACAATCACAAATTTAAAAACACAAATTTAAATAATGGATTGGCTTCCTGCATGGAATTTGGGTGCCAAGAGGAGATTATTTAGTCAGCCTCCCTAAAAAAACAGCCTTGGGAGATTCATACGACTTTAGAATCGAATAGAATAACAAGAGTTTGGAAGGCACCTCGGAGGTCTTCTAGTCCACCCCCCAGGAAACCTTATACCACTTCAGACAAAATGGTTGTCCCATCTCTTCTTAAAAAAGTCCAGCATCAGAGGAAGGGAGGGAAGGAAGAGTTGGGAGGGACCTTGGAGATCTTCTAGTCCAACCCCCTGCCTAAGGCAGGAACCCCTACAGCAGACAAATGGTGACCTGTGATTTTCTAATTTGCAGGGCCTCCAATCGGACGTGTTTAAATGGAAGGAAATAATAATAATTTTAAAAAAGGATGGGAAAGAAAAAACAATAATAATAAAAAGACCAAACCAGAGAATATTCCTCTTGTTTTTATTTCTAGAGCAACATAATTAAATACAGAGCACAATTCCTTTCGTTTTACACCCCCACCTCACCCCCCGACGTAATCGTTAACCTCTTCTTCGCACACAGATCCTCCTGTGTGCTCGCAAACACACACGCAATATTTAGGTCATATAAGTTACCGGAGCCCTGCCCTTTTTTTTGAAATCCTGGGAAAGGGAGGTGGGGGAAATAATAATAATAATAATAAACTGAAAAATTACTGAACCGTCGTCCTTACGGGCTTGCAAATAGAGTGAGGGGCTTAACTTGGGTGGGCCCTTCTTCCTGCCTCTGGTTTAGCTAAAATAGCATATATATTTTTGTTTTTTGCCACAATGCAAAGGTTGAAAAGCAGAATTTGAAACAGGAGGCATCTGCAGTGCTTCCCCCACCCCCCCAAAAAGGGGGGCTTTATTTCCTCTCCATCAGCGCCCCCACCCCACCCCCAGGGGACACATCAGGAACGGAGAAATGGCATCTGATATAAAGACGCCACTTGGAAGTGTTTCTCCGTCCCTACAAGCAGCGGAAGGAAGAGAGAGAAAAAAAATAGCATTTTTAGTGAGGAGGCAAGAACAGAGAAAATCCATTTGGAAATTGGTTGGGATTTTCTGCTCAAGCCCAGTTTTCTACCCCTTTGGCTTAAATCCTTAGCTATTTATGAGGATGTTGCTTACTTGAATGGATGCCCAAGCAACGAAGGGTAGAGGGGGAAAAAAGGGTTGTTTTTTATTTTATTTTATTTAAGAAGGGATGCGAAGCATCGTGGCTCGGAAGGCCGTCAGAGGAAGAGGCTGAGATTGGTGGGCGTCGGAGGCGATGGATGGTCTACGAGGGGTATCTACCCCCCCCCACCCCCCTTAAGATGAGAGCCAATGGGAATTTGATTAAAAATCCACCTTGCACCCAAATTTGGAGGGAGAGACAAGAGAGGAGCCGGGAAGGACGAGAGGAGGGATGTTGACACGGACACCGGGTGTTACTCCGTCGGTAAGCGAGGCCCTGAATCAACGAGGCCGCCAGAACGACGTCGCGTAATCCAGGCAGCCCCCCCCCCCCCCCGAAATAAAAATTAAATAATAAATAAAAATCCAGATTGAGGAGGGAAGAGATTTCCAGAAAGGAGGAGCTGGGTGGGAATCTCTCTCTCTCTCTGAGCGGATCCTAAACAGAAAGGATCCGCTAATCCGCAACGGGTGGGAAGGAAGCCCATCCAAGGGCTCCCTAATTCCTTCTTGGCTAGAAGAAGAAGACGAACACATTTGAGGTGGGTTCAAATCCTGGCCCTTGGCTAGTTGAGATCATTTTGCAAAGGAGCGCCAAAGATGTCACGAGGAACTCCAGGAAATTATTATTATTATTATTGTATTTTCCTTGGACTTGACAGCTCCTTGCCTGCCACATTCCCGGGAAGAGGCCTTGACAAATCATGCAGCTTTGTGTGTGTGTGTGTGTGTGTCCCCCTTGGCACCCCAAAAATGCAGTTCGTGGTGTGTTGTGGCGACGCATCGCTGAGACGCCCTGCCTTCACCTGGACTTAAGAAGTAGGTGGCCAGAGCACTGCGGCGGCAGCATGCTGGGGGGGTGGGAAGGTGGGGGAGGAAGACTGTGGATATGAGGGTGGGGGGCTATGGCGTGCTTGTGGGGTGCCCGCGGTGCCCGCGAAGGTGGGGGGGAAACGTGAGGTACCGCTATGCCTCCGGGCTGCGATGGCGGGAGCGCAATGTTGAACAGGGTGGGGAATTGTCGGAGGATGAGGCTCCAGGCAGAAGCTCGAAGCAGCCCCGATGTGGTCCTGATGTCCGAACCTGCCCCCCGACCCAGCCCGAGACAGAGTGGTGGGTGGGTGGGTGGGGGGATGGGGGGGACGGACGACACCCACGTCACGCCATCAGGGACCTTCGGCGTGGCAGGTCGACGTTGCTGGAGCTTAAGGCTCGGCTGTCGCAGAGGTTGCCGGAGACCTAGAGAGGGAGGATGAGGGGAGGAGCATTGAAGGGGGGGCAGAGATGCCAGCATCGCCCAGGTTTTTTTGGGGGGTGGGGTGGGGGATTTTGTCCCTCCTTCCTTTTCCTTCTCCTCCTTCTTCCTTTCTCTTCCCTCCCTTCCTCTTCTCCTCCGCCATTCCTTCCTTTTTCCCTTCCTCCCACCTTCCTTCCTTCTTTCCTCCTCCTCCCTCTTCCTTCCTTCCCTTTCCTCCCTCCGTCTCTCTTTCCTTCCTCCTTTCCTCTCCCTCCTCCTCCCTTTCCTCTTCCCTCCCCCTCTCCCTCCATCTCTCCTTCCTTCTTCCCTTCCTCTCCCTCCTTCTCTCCCTTCCCTCTCTCCTTCCTTCTTCCCTCTCCTCCCTCTCTTTATCTCCCTCTCTCCATCTCTCCTTCCTTCTTCCTTTCCTCTCCCTCCTCCCTCCCTTCCCTCTTCCCTCCCCCCTCCTTCCTTCTTCCCTTCCTCTCCCTCCTCCCTCCCTCCCAATCCCTTCCCTCTTCCCTCCCCTCCCTCCCATCTCTCCTTCCCTCTTCCCTCCCCCTCCCTCCCTTTATCTCCCTCCCTCCATCTCTCCTTCCTTCTTCCCTTCCTCTCCCTCCTCCCTCCCTTCCCTCTTCCCTCACCCTCCCCCCTTCATCTTCCTCCCTCCATCTCTCCTTCCTTCCTTCCCTCCCCTCCCTCCCTCCCTTCTTCCATCTTCTTTCCTCCTTTCCTCTCCCTCCTTCCTTCCTCCTTCCCCTTCCCTTCCCCTCCCTCCCTCCTCCCATCTTCCTTCCTACCTATTCCCCCCTCTTCCCCTCCCTCCCTCCCTCCTTCCTTCCCCTTCCTCTCCCCAGTCTCTCCTCCTCCCTCCCTCTTCTCCTTCATTCCTCTCTTCTCCTCCCTCCCTCTACAAAAACAATCCAGCCACTCGGACCAGATCATATGGTCATCAGAAGACGCTTTTGTTGAGGGGGAGGAGAAGAGAGGAATGAAGGAGAAGAGGGAGGGAGGAGGAGAGACTGGGGAGAGGAAGGGGAAGGAAGGAGGGAGGGAGGGAGGGGAAGAGGGGGG